TCGCTTGATTAAGGAAGGCCCATCCTGTTTTATCCCTGACTCCTGTCAGCGTCCTATTGCCTCCCATGGGTGAAGCAGTCCACGTCAATCTTCAGTGCAATTCTTCTACATCACTCTGGAGTCATCTCCAGCACAGCAAGGAGGTGATGCCAAAGGCCAGATTTAATAGCTGGGATGCAAATGCTGCTAGAGGAAATAAAAACTGAATTAATCTTTGTGGTTTTCTCTAGTCTCTTGAATTTCAAAGCCTCTTTGGCCCCTCTCAGTTCTCTGTAAACATTTCACTGTGTGTACCTGCTGAGGAAGCTGTGAGATGGGGTGGATTTTTGTGTTCCTTTCTTTTTCCCAGCGATGGTAGCAACTCAGTTTTCCCATCTGTATTTTTCATTTGAAGGTTTTTTTTGTTGGTTTTTTTTTCTCTCATCTTTTTTAGCCATAATTCATCTGGGGATGGATCAGGCAGAAAGATTTCTTCTTATGAGAGAGTGGTGTCCGTGGAGACCCACACAAGCCATGAGCCAAAAGGAGCCCGTTCTTTACTAGAGAACAGGATGAGTGAAGACGGGCTGAATAAATACTATTAATTCTCCATTTCTTTGCCGCTGGCAAGCCCGACTTTTAATATCAATTATTGATTGTGATTTTCACTGGAACATTTCAAGCGGCATATGTCACTGATCTGTAATTATCTGATTGCTGTGCCTTGAGCTGTGGGAATGCATATGGAAGCAGAGCCAAATTAGGGCCCTTCTTCAAACTCCTCTGCTTCAATATAGGCCCCAAAAAAGAGTAAACCATTCAATTTTCTTTCCCAGTGAATGCAATGGCAGGGGTGAATTTGTGATGAGTAAAAATATATGGATTTAAGGACACTAATGTGTTTTTTTTAACTCCACACAAAGTATGGCATAATGGACAATTTTGATTGTGGAATGAGTGACAGACTAGGGGGACAGTAACCTCTCCAATCAGTGTGTAAGTGGGATTTTGTCTAGTGACCTTAACTGGAATGACAGGATCTATGCCGGTTTGCAGTGGTAGGGCTTTGTGGGGGAAGCCAGATTATCCAGGCTTCAGCCAATGCCATTATTCTTTCTGCACTAGGAATTGCTGAAAATACCAAAATATTCATCCCCAAGCAATTAGTAACCAGGGAGGGAGACAGTGAAGGAGGGAGGGCTGAGCAGCAGAGTGCCTGGCTTCTCACTCCATTTCCTAAGCAGGTGCGTTGTGGGACATTTGCAGAGATATTAACCCTGCATACAGAGTGTGCCTGTCAGTAATTATGGAAATTAGTTGGCAATTAGATAATGTCATTCACTCTCCGCATACAGCTGATAAGCAGCTGAGAGCCACTCCAGCATGTGGCCCAGGCTCTCTTTGTGGGCTGCAGAATGGATAGCTGTGACCTCAGCTGAATGGTGGTGGGTAGGCTTCCCTGCAGCAGGGCTGCCTTCCGTCCTCTGCTTGGGAAGCTGTGCAGTCTGTCAGCCCCATGAGTGGGAAGTTGGAGTAGTGTAAGTGGGGTGCTTCCTCCTGTAGGCCCTGTGTATGTGGGCTGCTGAGCTGCCTGGGCTGCATGCAGGCTCCTCACTGTTTCCACTCTCGAGAGGGCTGGGGAGGTGTGCAGGCTGCCAGGGTGCTGCACGCAGAGGCAACCTCACTCCTTCAGAGTAACAAGTGTTCAAAGTGCTGTCTCACATGCTGGTTTACTGAAGGGCTGAGAACATCCAGACTCGCTGTCTTGCTTTGTGCTGCTAACTCGCATTAAGCCTAAAATGTACTATGGTTGTGTTACTTTCCTATGTGAGCAATAGCTGGGGTTGGAACAGGGATGTTGCTGCTTTGTGCTCCGAAAAGGTGGTGACCATCATGAGATCTTTTTCTGTTAGATGTGTTCGTTCTGTGGCAAAATTTGAGATCTCCAAAGATAATAAATATAAGAAAATACTATGAGATTCTATAGTTATTGTCCCAAACTGTAATGCATTGCTATGGTAGCAGTGTGCTGCATGAGGCTGCTAAGGTAGTATTTATGCTAAAAATAAAATAGAGCAGAAATGTGTTTGTTCTCAGTGTGCTTAAGAGGATCACTGTGGGAAATGAGGAAGGCACAGGTATGTTTTGTCAGAATTTGCTCTCTCAAGATTCAGATCAAATCCTGGCCAGTGGTAAAAAGGACCCTGGCTCTTCTCTGCATGTATTACTGCTGTGTGGTGGAGTTTACTGTCACAGGCTGAGCTGTGTAAGACACGGAGCTCAGGTAGCAGGGAGTGCTGTGGGTTGGGCTGGAGGGTTCTGGCAGAGCTCTGGAGGAGTCCTGGCCTTTTAAGTGTCAGCAGTGTTCCCAAAAGCTGCTCTGGAATGTCCAAGAGGCGATGAAGTACCCAAAATTAAACTTGCATTTCACTATTTTTCATACCGCCTCCCTCTACTGAAACAGGCCTGGGTCCTGTCTTCTTAAGAACAGATAGAGAAGCTTCACTCAGCCAACAGTGCAGTCTCTGTTTAACTGTTTCTTCCTGGTGTAAGTTTCCTTCATTAGCCTTTGTCATCAGCACATGAGCATGTATCCATGTTACAGAAATCTCTACTAGGTAGCACTGCTCCCTTTATTGCTCCCTTGAAGTATCCCAAGGACTGAAGCATTGCATGAGAACCCAGACTTGTTTGCATCTGTAAACTGGGATTTTAGCAACATGGGGTTTGAAAAGATAGGCAGGTTTTTTGGTACAGCTGTATTGTGGCCATATAGATTTCTTTTGTGATCATCTCTAGATTACTCACACCTGATGCTGTGATGTACACTGTGTTCCACTGCTTCTCAAAGTGTCAGTCTTTTAAAACAGGGAGAGCAGAGTAGGAAGGCTGAGGGCTGCTTCTGGCGCAGGTGCTGACATCTGCCCTGACCAGGAGGACTGAAGCTGCTGTGTGAGATCCCCTGTACAGGGCCCCCGTGGGTGATTGGGGCTGTGCTGGACTTGCCACCTCCTGAGCACAAGCTGAGCACAGAGCTGCCTCATGGAGCAGGGAGTTCCGCTACAGTAAATGTGAGGTAAAGGGAACTGTGAGCTGCTGGGAGCACATCGCTGGCTAATTTACACACATTATTATATTCCTATTCCCATCTCATCAATAATTCCAACTTGGGTCATCACTTTTTCTCTTTCCTCCTGCTTACTCTATTCTCCTTCTCCATAAATCATGGGCTATTTTAGTGGAGCCACTAGGGATCACAGAGGAGAAAGGTAAATGGACAAGAGCCACATACTTTTTCCTCTATTTGATTTTCAAAGCACTCTAAACCCTCATGAATTGAATCAACATTGCGATTTTTGGGAAAACAGATGATTTGAGCATTTAGATCTGGTTTTTTTTTCTTTCTTCTTTTTTTCCTTTTCTTTTTACACATCTCCTAACACCTCCTTTTTCTTCCTTCTATTCTCCCAAGACAAGCTGTTAACAATTAAAAGGAATTATCTTCCCTCTGGTTTTGACTTGATTTTATTTGTGTTTATAGCAGTTTAGCTAACAAGCTCCACTCAGGCAGCTGCAGGGAGTAGGCCTGCTTTCCACTGGGCACCAAAAGCTCACGTTTCTTTCTAGCTTGAGGGTTTTCTTTTAATTGATCAATTTTCTTTTCTAAGTGACTTGTTTTTCTGTGCTGGCTAAATTTGCCAGATTGACAGCCCTGGAGACTTAAAGCTCCTGCAGGTCCTTAGGGCAGGTAAGGCAGAGGCTGTGACTGCATGACCTATCCCTTCCTTTACCTGGTGATTCTCCTCCAGCTCAACCACTGTACTTACTAGACGTTGCTTTTCTGCACTGCCTATTTCTACAGCATCTGTGCGCCAGCACCTCTGGACCAAGGTGAGTGTCAGGCTTGGGAGGCTTCTTCCAGGAACAAGGTCTCCAGCAATTCACATCATTCATATCACTAAACACCTGCCCCAGGCAAATGCTGCCTCACAATACTTTTGACCCAGTTTGTGAAATCTGTGTTCATGCTGTTTTCTGGGAGGTTGTTGAAGGCCTTGATTCACATCATCTTCTTTCCTGCTTTGTATCTTTGCTAGTGTTAGCTGTTCCCTGAGCTCTTCTTATGCCTGGCCCATCTCTGAGAACAAGTCCCTGCGTTAATGTATCCTAGCTTTGTGCTATCATTATTGTAATCTTAAAACATTCTTCTAACCTAGGCATACAGTCACCCACATGTGAATAGACAGAAGTGAATTAAATCCCAGTGCTAACAGGTCTAACTCCTTTTTACTAAAGACAGAAGCTTGCTCTTATCTAAGGGTGAACTTGGCCTTTTCCCAAACAATTAGACCAGGGTAATTGTTTAAGTGCTTAGACAGTTTTTATCATCTAATCTACAAGTTTCCTATCCTCTCAGCTGCAGGTTGCCATATATACTTTGGGTAGCACATGTTTCCAGGTTACAGAGGTCCTTGTTAAAGTCCCTGAAGTGTGCAAGACATGTAAAGTAAAAGCAGCTAATGCATAACAGGCTGACAGTGGAATTGTCTTCTCTAATGTTTTCTTGGTTTGCTCGGTAGTCTAACAAAACGAACAGAAGTTTGGGAAGTTTGGATAATATTCTTTCTTCATCGGTTCTTATATTCTAAAGCATACTGCTCTTTGCACTGAGTATTTCTACAGAGAGGCAATTTTTAGTGGGGAAGCTTCTGTGCCATCTCTCTCATTAGTCACTGGCGTTACCTTCATCAAAGGGGTAAAATAATTTGTTGTATTTTTTTTTTTCTTGCATAGAGCAGGGGTGTGTGTAGACCTCTTGGTGTGTTCTCTATCTGATCCTCTTAGTTTTGATGACATAGATGTTCCTAATGCTTTGAAGGACTGTACAGCTATCTGTAGGCATGAAGAAGAGGTCAGAATATCAAGAAACGTAAAGAAGATACTGGGCTTAATAAGCTTTGTGGTAAAGACATGGTTAGTAGTAGGACCAACCTTTTCTTTTTCTTCTCTTGACTCTGCAGGTCCTGCAAGTTCTCTGAGTGCCAGGTGTTGAATGATGAACTGGAGTGTCACCAGTGCACCATGAAGATTGACTTCACTTTTGCCCTCCCAAGGATCACATACTTTATGAATTCACTTTCTCTTCCATCTTACTGCCACCTCCTTCAGTACTGTCATCACTTCTAGGAAACCAGAATCTGAGGCTTTGGCTTCATCTCTGCCTTTCCTCCCTCCCAGGAACAACCAGTGTCACCTTTGTGTTCTGCTAAAACAAACCTCTGTGGGTTATTTTGCCCTTCACAAAAGTGCACCAGCTGGAGAAGTCACTTCGTATACCCTGTACATCTGATATCCAGAGATAAAGGCCTCTGGATAATTGAGATCTTTGCTTGGAGAGGACGCATTTCTTCTTGGTCACGTGCCCTTGCTATTTCCCTTTCCAACTACTCTCCCTCGCTCTGTCCGTCTGTGCTCTCCTCTTCCTGCTGGATTTAACAGATTCAGTGTTGACTGCTGGAGTTGTCCTCCCAGTAGTGTGGCTTTTGTTTTTCTCCTGGTGAAAGCAGATTCTTGAAACAATGGGCTTCACTCTCCACTCTGTCTACTTCACTTTGAAGGTGAGTTTGCTGCTTGGCTCCTTGCTGGGCCTCTCTTTGGGTCTGGAGTTCATGGGCATCCCCAACCAGTGGGCCCGCTTCCTCCGCTGGGATGCCAGCACTAGGAGTGAACTCAGCTTCCAGTTCAAGACCAATGTTTCTGCTGGGCTGCTTCTCTACTTTGATGACGGTGGTGTCTGTGACTTCCTCTGTCTGTCTCTTGTTGATGGGCGCATCCAGCTCCAGTTCAGTGTGGACTGTGCAGAGACTACAGTTATCACAGATAAGCAGGTCAACGACAGCAACTGGCACTTCCTGATGGTCAGCCGCAATCACCTTCGGACAGTGCTAGTGCTGGATGGTGAAGCCAAACCAGGTGAGGTGCGTCCACAGCGTCAATATATGAATATTGTCAGTGACCTTTTTGTGGGTGGAGTCCCTTTGGACATCCGTCCTGCCACCTTGACCCTTGATGGTGTTCTGAGTGAGCCTCCGTTTCAAGGATTTATTCTGGATCTGAAATATGGCAACTCTGAGCCGCATCTTCTGGACAGTCAAGGAGTCCGACTGGAAATGGAAGGGCTTTGCACAGAAAACCCTTGTGAAAATGGTGGCACTTGCTTTCTTCTAGATGGTGAGCCACACTGTGACTGCTCAGCTACTGGGTACGTTGGCAAGCTGTGTTCTGAAGGTAAGAAAATACTTCTATACTTCCCATTGAACTTTATAAAATTCAAAGAGTTTATTTGTCACTCAGCAAGGCTATGACCGAGCTCTTATCCCTGCTGGTGGCTGTTAGAGGAATTAAGGTTCCACTGTTCTTTTTCCAGCTGGGAATAATGAAGTGAGAGTAGATGGAGAGCATGAACAATTGCAAAAGGTGCCTTTTTGAAAAGATGCTACGTTTATAGCATGGGCTGATTTTCTTCAGCAGCTTATTGATGAGGGTGGACAACATGAATTGATATATACAGAAATACTCAGTATTGATGTTGATAAAAGCATTGGTAAGAAATTATCTCAACTATCTGGGTGAATTCAACAACATTTTACCACTGCTGAGTGAATTGTTGGTAAAAATGAGCAATATGCATATGGCTAACATAATTGATTGACAGGACATTCAAAGGTTAAGCCACCAAAGTTGGTGCAAACTGTTGCTCTCTGTGGAAGCCCTGTACTTCTCTTCAATTTCTTGCATACTAGTTGCTGAATGGCATCTTGATTGTTTTAGCACCCTTGATTAAATTGCTTTGGGAAATGCTGAATTATCTTTTTTAGTATTGCAAAATGAACAGGGATTTGAGTGTTTCTACACTGTTTCTTGCTATGTTTGAAAATTTCAGTCCTGAAGTCTTAAGCAAACTGCATAATGAAGAATATTTCAGGGATCTTTCCTTGATCTTTAGCAGTGTCATGGTAATTAACTCTCTATGTGCAAAAGAGTTAAGTAAATTGACTGGAAATCAGTGTGAATTTGAGAATCTCATCTCAGCATTATTTTGTGACATTTGGGTTTAAGCACAACAATTTGAGCTTATGCTGAAGATGAAACTGGGCAAGAAGCATTCAGTCTAAAGAAGAAATAAAACCACTTCGAAATTATCTTGCTTATCCATTGCTTGACCATTGCTTGACTTCTTTTTGGAATGCAAGTAGATTAACTGGAATTTAGTATGTGGAATTTGAGAAGTGTTGAAAGTAACATCTGTATATTGTTGATATGTAAGCAAAAAGGAAGTCAGTACTCTTACCAAAATACTGTGTAAATACGGCTCTTCTTTTACAGCATAAATAAGGAGGAGCAAGCATGTTTTTACAGGAAGGGAAGGTTTGGAAAACAAACATGACATCTATATATGTGTTAATTTTAAGTGCTATTAATAAGAAAAAAAATTATATCCAAATAAAAGAATAATATACATTACCATTTTATATAACTCATCATTCTTGACTGAAACAGCCATCTTAGAGACAAAGCTTATAGGATTTCTGGGATAATATTAGCTGTATGTGCTATGGAGATCTATAGTGTACTGAAGAAATACCTCCTTCATGCAGCAAATTTTCAAGTACAATAATAAAATTTGAAGTATTTATTAATAATAAATTATTTTCAGAATGGCTGGTAAGGAACTATGTACATTGATTTTTTTTTTTTTCCTCCCTATTTTTGTCCAAGTTTCCAAGTCTTCCAAACTAGACTTGAATTTTTACATTCCACATTTTTTTCCTGTCTTTTTGTTCAGCATTAATCTGGTCCAAACCTGTAGTGAGCCAGAACGGTTTCCTTTGCTTGAACCATGAAGTAGGTGGGGCTGGTGAGACTTCTGGTTGTGACTGAGTACTTGAATAGCTGGGGCCCTGATGCCCAAGTGCAAATTTTGAGTGATGGAAGATCACGAGAGTTGCAGAGGCATGCGGAGCCTGATACAGATACAAGCCTTTTTCTGCTGCTGAGCTAATGAATCAAGACTTCACAGGTCAAAACATCAACAGAATATGGTTTTCATTCAATGTCTAGAGAAAATACTGTGACTGAGGCTTCCACTTACACCTGTGGGGCAGTTTTGAGCTCCATCCAAGGCTCAGCTGTGGAACTTCTGTATTTCCTGGGAGGGTGGAGCAAGATGAAATCCATCTTCTGTTGAAACCAGGGATATTTCTGTTGTAGGCATCACAGATCAAGCAGCGCTATTGTTACCTTTTGAAGCCATGCGTCACATTGCTGTTTGTTTCCTGTAATGATTCATCAGTTTTCACCCCAACCTTCTATTAAGGCAGAGCAAAGAAGTTTGTCACGGTGTACCTTTTTTAATAAACACTTTTAACTTGTTCTTAACTGTGGTCTGTTCACATGTAAGATGCTGTGCAAAGAATTTTTTCCAGTGGAAGAAATACCAAGAATTTCCACAAACAATTCCCAGCTTGTCCAGTCCTTATTATTATTATTTTTTAATTATATTACTTCATGTATATTTGGTTTATGTTAGAATTTTATAATTAACCTTGTTTTCTGTCTCCTTTGTTCTGCAACACTGGTGATTTATGTGTGTTTAAATGCTGTCACCCTGAAATGTTACAGTGTCTGTGTAAACTGTGAGAAGGGGAAAAACAAAAGTTCAGTGGAAACAAGCAGACAAAGAAAATTGTCGAGAAAACAAAAAATGAACCATGTGAAGTCAAGTTACCTTTTAATCTGACTTTGAAAAACTTCATAAACTTCAAAGGTGTTGGATTTCCACTGTCCAACTATGGCAGGACTTCCGCTGATGAACAGCAGAACACTGTAGGAATGGCAGGACACGCTTTTCCTACCTGTAGCATGATTGGCCGTTATGCATCTTGCATATTCTGTGTTTGCTTTGTTCCAAGAGATTGAAGTGTTTGTCACTAAAACTGTTCCCCCCTTTTTGTTTTTTTTTTTAACTTCTTTATTCTGCCTCTGGATATTTGCAGGAATTATTTTCAACATGGATATTTTTTCTCAATCTTATTTTTGAAAGAGACGTGCCCTTTTAACTGGATATCAACAACTCCCTTTTTGGAGAGGATCCTTAATTCCATTATAGCATTTACTAGACTGTAGTCTGTGTGTGTATTTTCATTTGGTCACGGGAGTTGGCTCTTTTAGTAGGAACTGATGGGATTCAATCAATAACAACTTCTGTTTGAACAGCTAAATGCAATGTACCTTTTCAATAATGACTTCTCTTGACAGAGTCTAGGCCATTACTTGGCTATTGACTAATACCTGTGTTTGCAGATGGTAAAACCACAGCACTCTCATTTATTCTATAGCCAGAAAAATAAAAAATAAAGATTGGAACCTGCTGATCACATACCTTGATAGAATGAATCTCCATTTACAGTATTAGAGGCTATTGTAATGCAAAGTATAGTTACAGTGTACCTCTGTACACTGTAGAGAACAAAATTTTTTCATCATTCCATAATGAGACAAAACATTCTGACCAGAACATGCCCCATTGTGCAGAAAGCTTTTTATCACTTACTGTGCATACAGTTGCCAGCATTTTCTGTGTCATGATAGCTACATGCCCAGATGGGTATCTGTGCTGGTCATTGCTGGTCAATGAGAAGTACAATTTGTGTATTTGAGTGCGTGTGCAAATGTGTGCACACTTCAGAAGACCTATCTGTTTGGAATAAAATGTGATACTATTTTTATTGCAGTTGGAGTAAACAGGTTCATTGAATCTGACAGCTCTGTAGGGTACGAAGGATGGCTGATTTGAGTAGCAATTAATTTGTATGTTTCCGGGCAGTGGTGCCATTAAACATGAAAGTTGAAGTCAGAGACACCTTCCCCTCTAATGAACCTCATCAGTCTCTGTGGGATCAGGCTCCTGCCAAGAGAATGAAGCTCCAGTAGAATGTGAGCAGCACAAATAAATATGTTCGTGTCAGTAAAAAACAGAACAAAACAAAAACCCAACAAAACAAACAAGCCAAAACCAACCAACCAAAAAACAAATCGGGACGTTTCCTACACAAATTTTGCAAACAGTGCTGCTAACTAAGCTTGTTGTGCATGCTCCTATCTCTCATATCTGCCCACTCTGGACCACGCTGTCAAGCTTAGTCTGCTTGAAATTCCCTCCTATGTGAGAGGATTTGAAAGATGAGCTCATTGTAGTAGCATCGGAGGTACAAATCTTTTGGTCCACGACCTCACCTCTCTTCCTAGCCCCTTCTGGACTTGGAGGGTGAAGGTGAGCAGTAGATGTGCTCAGAAATGGCATTAACTCTGCTTGTAGTTGCAGAACCAAGGCGCGGTGTGATCACTAGCTTCACAAAGCATCACGCTGAAGCCTTTGTGTTGCCTGCAGGGGCTGTTTCTAAACGAAGCCTGAATAGGGTCCTGATTGCACCTCTTCCCTTGATTACAGAGCAAGATTTCCTGGGGATGCTGCCTGCTGAATGACAGAGGAGCCCGTTGCTCTGTAATTATCACTCTTTTAACTGCAGCGGGAACAGATTTTTCAATAGCCCCTCAGCTTCGTTTAAAGAGACAAGTTACTGCAGAATTTATCCTCCACCTGCTCTTCGGAGCAGCCCAGTTTTTGGCTGCATCTAAAGAGACTGCCTTAGCCTTTCTTGTTGTCAGCACACCTCCCTGCCAGCCACTCCGAACTTTGTAACGCTAAGGGCTAATTTGGCACTTTGCCATCAACCTGATGGGTGCACTTAATTTGCATGTGCATTATATATATCATGTAAATCATACATTTTGTAATCAGAAACAAATGGACACGACCATAATATTTGCTTCCACTTGCATATTCTTTGATGGATGAATGTAAATTTGTTGTTGAATTCACCAGCAATAAACAGCTGCAGACCCTTCATTTGGTCTTGTGCTCTGCACTTGAGGACAGCAGGCAGCTCTAGGGCACACTGTGGGGGCCCAGATTTTCAGTGTAAAACTCTGGAATTGATGGTCTCGGAGGGCTGTGGAGTAAAGGGTGCAAGAGGCAAATCTGCTTGTGCTCCAGCTTGGGTTATTGGGCAGAAAGCTGGTAAAAATTCTGCTCCTCACGTAGTTTTGTAATAGTTTTGTTTTTTCCCCCATCTCTTTCTCTTGCTCACTATTCTTAGGTTATGTTCATTTGGTTCTATTTAAAATAATGATTCTTTTTCCAGTCTGGTTATAGTTTTTTGATGCAC